GTGTTTCCTGATGCTACTAAAGTGTGATCCATGAACTAGAAATAGCAAATTATTACTTTTCTGAGAAAATGTGAGAGTATTTTTTTATGTCACTATTAGTACTGTGTGCAAAAAAGGATGTGGGCAGAGCAGGGACGGGAGCGCAGCTGGAGCTTTGATCAAAGTGTGTTTTGGGATGGCGCGTGATAAAAGAAAAGCGAAAGCCTCATCATTCGATACTGCTGACTAGGTAATGGCGGAAGATGAACAAACGGCATAAAATGAGGGTAATTGGCAAATGCTTAAAATTAGGTACTGAGACAGAAACAGCTTGGGCTTGGACGTCAATTCAGTGACCAGTCCTACTGTGGTTTCGCGCTTTCTTAGTTTACTGAACAAAATCTTTTGTCGATGCTTCGTGCTGCATCATGTTAACCAGAAAGAACATAAAGTGTCCTGAACTTTCCCGTAGCTTATTTGATAGGAACTAGTATACCGATCAACAGCCATACTATGAAACACAGCCAAATTAAACATAAAACTGAGTGTCCAACTAATCTAAGTGTGATGAAATAATGCTAACACTTCTGAAAAATAATTCCATAGCCAGCTGCTTTGATGAAAAAGCAACGTATTCAAGACTGATCTCTTAAACCCAAAACTGGTGTTTTGCCGGTCTTGACTGAGTTTCTGTACAGTTAAGACTTTTGCAAATCTTAGCATATTATACCTAAATTTTGCGCAGTGCATTCAAAATAAATGTTTTTCTTACCGAAAATTTATTCAAACAAGTTGAATTTAGTGTTTCTGGAAGAGGAAGGTGCCTACAGTAGCCTGACCTGCTTGCCGGAGACTTAAGCGTGAACATGTAATGCTATTCCCACCAGCACTCTCACTACCCGCACAGAGACGCAGCCGGATAACGCAGTGAAATCAGGTCTTCCTGGCCATATTCAGGGAATAGATACATTAAGCAAATATGAGTGAAACTGGCTTACATTAAAAATGCAACGGCCATTGTCACATCGGAAGTGATCTGAGGCACACTGGTTGGTTGCGCACAGGCCCTCCGGCTCGTCACTTCCGTCTTCACAGTCCTACAAGCAACGTCCATGAATGAAAAATAACGTGCATTTTGCAAAGCCTACATTGGCATGATTTCACTGCTTACAACAGTATGTTTACACGGGTCGGTGAAGTTCATTGGACAATCCCTATGACTTGTTTTTTGTTTCGACAGTAAATGAGTATATGCGTATGCCAAGAACCTAGTGAATGAATGTCGCTGACAGGTGCTAACCCAGGCTGGAAACCAGGCTCTCCGGTGCGATCATGCGTTTTTGCACTAAACTCGCAGATCGCTATTAGCAGGAATGACCCCTACGCTATAGCCTAACACATGGGCTAATATTGGTCGCGCTTTGATCCTTTCCGGCATGCAAGAGAAAGGGCATCAGTTGGGATGAAGGTGGTGCATTATAGAGCCACACGGACATCCAGGTGCATGATTAC